GATTCTGGACCCATTTGGTAATGGCTTATGTTTTTACCTTTTGGACTTGCTATGTGTTGAAAAAGGAGTATGAGACTGTTGCCACAATGAGGCTGCATTTTCTTGCATCTGAAAACCGGCGTCCTGATCAGTTCACAGTAAGATTGTCACTGAGTAACTGGTTATATTTTGTCAAAAATGGTACAAGGAGTTCTTAAAAGTACTAGGATATTCCAAGCTTTGTGGGAATTGGAGAATGAGAATGGTTCCTTGGTTTCTGACATCAATTACATGATGCAGGTGATTGTTAGAAATGTACCACCAGACCCGGATGAATCCGTTAGTGAGCTTGTTGAACATTTTTTCCTGGTCAATCATCCTGAACATTATTTAACTCATCAGGTTAGTATTATTGGATTTTTCCGGAATTGCACTGTGAGATCCCGCATCAGTTGAGGAGGAGAACAAATCATTCTTTATAAGGGTGCCCTAGCAGACACGTTTTAAAAACCTTGCCCAAAAGAGAAAACCTAAAGAGGATAATGTCTAGCAGGGGACTTGGGCTGTTATAAATGATATCAGACCCATACATCGGGCGATGTGTCAGCGAGGAGGCTAATCCCCGAAGGGGTGGATTGTGAGAATCCCACGTCGGTTGGGGAGAAGAACAAAACCTTCTTTATAGCCCGAATGGGAAAGTTCAGAGAGGACATTATCTGCTAGTGGTGGGTTTGGGCTGTTACATGCACAAACATCTTCCGTTGAGGAATTGATTAGGATTTGTGATTTATGTTCTCCTGAAACTTTCTGAAGTTATTCTTACGATTATGCAGATTGTTTATGATGCAAACAAACTCTCTAAGTTGGTTGAGGAGAAGAAAAAAATGCAGAATTGGCTAGATTTCTACCAACTTAAATATTCTCGAAACCAGTCTAAGAGGGCCACTATGAAGGTACAGTTCTTGAACTGGTGAATTGGTAATTCTTTGATGTTGCACTTGACATGTTTTCTATTACTAACATCATGTGAGCAGACTGGTTTTCTAGGTCTTTGGGGGGACGAGGTCGACGCCATAAATTATTATTCGTCAAAAATCGAAATCCTATCAAAAGAAGTGAGTTATAACAGTAACCTTTCACCCATTCTCCCACGATCATGGTATTCTGTGATATCATTGAGATATAACTTACATTATTCTCCAAATGACTTTGTTCAGATATCACTGGAGGCTGATAAGACAGTGAACCATCCTAAATCAATCATGCCAGCAGCTTTTGTTTCTTTCAAATCTCGGTGGGGTGCTGCTGTTTGTGCACAAACTCAACAGTCAAGAAATCCAACCATTTGGTTGACAGAATGGGCTCCCGAACCCCGTGATGTGTACTGGGATAACCTGGCGATCCCTTTCGTGTCACTGGCAATCAGGAGGCTTATTGCTGGAGTTGCCTTCTTTTTCCTTACCTTCTTTTTCATGATACCCATTGCATTGGTTCAGTCCCTAGCAAACCTTGAGAGTATTGAGAAAACGGCTCCCTTCCTCAAACCCATTATTGAATTGTGAGTATCCTTTCTCTTCACACGTCGCCCGGTGCATACTGTTCTTGATTTTATCTTCTAACATGTAGCCTGCCTGCTAATGACAATGCAGGGACTTCATTAAGTCAGTTATCCAAGGTTTTCTTCCCGGAATCGCTTTGAAGATTTTCCTCATCTTTCTTCCTTCAATACTGATGTTAATGTCGAAATTCGAAGGATTTATTAGTCGATCGTCTTTGGAGAGAAGATCCGCCAACAAATATTACATTTTCCTGTTTGTTAATGTGTTTCTTGGTAGTATAATCACTGGAACCGCATTCCAGCAACTTAATAACTTCCTACACCAGTCTGCAAACGAGTAAGCCATAACTTATAATCTGTTCATGAACAGTTCATGGTTGGTTGCCAATAATTTAGTGAGAAGAATGCGTTGTGTTTGTACATGTGTGGTTGAGATTATATATATATAACGACTTTCGTCATAGCTAATTCGACATTTTCTGCAGCATTCCGAAGACGATTGGCGTCTCCATCCCCATGAAGGCAACTTTCTTTATTACCTTCATAATGGTGGATGGTTGGGCTGGAATTGCTGCTGAGATTTTGAGGCTTAGGCCTTTGATCATTTACCACCTTAGGAACTTCTTCTTGGTGAAGACTGAAAAGGATAGAGAAGAAGCCATGGATCCAGGAACTCTCGAGTTCAACGTGGGCGAACCTCGAATTCAACTCTATTTCTTACTTGGCCTTGTTTATGCTGTAGTCACACCTCTTCTCCTTCCGTTTATTGTAGTCTTCTTCGCATTGGCATATGTCGTCTACCGTCATCAGGTAAAACTATTTCGTCTAACTTCAGCTGTGTAGTTTACCTCCCCCATGTTCCTTTTATGTTTGCAAATATTGAGGTTTAAACTTCATGAAATAAGGATATATATGGTCCTCTGTTTTGAGAACATCGGTGCCATTAACTTCTTTGATATATACCCTACAAAAATCGAGACACAGCCTATATATAGTTTTTCATGACTGATTTGTTGAGAATTGTTGGGAGAGGAGTCCTACGTCATGGGTTTATAAGTAAAATCACGAGAGCTTATGCTCAAAGTGAACAACATCATACCATTGTGAAGGTTCGTGATTCCTAACATAGTATCAGAGTTATGCCCTTAACTTACCCATATCAATAGAATTCTCAAAGGTTGAATAAAGAAGTTGTGAACCTCGAAGGTGTAGTCAAAAGTGACTCAAGTGTCGAACAAATGGTGTACTTTGTACCCTTTGTTCGAGGGCTCCAGAGAAGGAGTCGAGCCTCGATTAAGGGGTGATTGTTCAAGGGCTCCATAGGCCTCAATGGAGGCTATATGGTATACTTTGTTCGAGGGAGAATTGTTGAGGATTATTGGGGGAGGAGTCCCACATTGGCTAATTAAGGGGTTGATTATGGGTTTATAAGTAAGGAAGTATGTCTCCGATGAGGTCTTTTGGGAAAACATTTCCCAAAAGTAAAGTCACGAGAGCTTATACTCAAAATGGACAATGTCATACCATTTTGGAGGTTCGTGATTCCTAACACGATGGTCAAGCCTCTCATTTCTCCCTTTTGTTCCTTTTGTTGTATTTTTGAAGTTTTTTCTCCAAACTTTGCAGATCATAAATGTGTACAACCAAGAGTATGAAAGTGCAGCAGCATTCTGGCCCGATGTCCATGGGCGGATCATTGTCGCCTTAGTTGTTTCACAGCTACTATTAATGGGACTACTCAGTACAAAAGAAGCTGCTCAATCAACTCCCTTGCTCATCACATTGCCAATCTTGACTATATGGTTTCATTTGTTCTGTAAAGACCGTTACGAACCCGCTTTTGTTCGATATCCATTACAGGTTAACACAGACCTTATCTCACTGTTTTTAGTTGTTTCAGATTGGTTGCTCATGAGATAATAGTATAGGGACTTCTAGCATCACCTCACCCTATTGAATGAACTTTCAGGAAGCAATGATGAAAGATACATTGGAGCGAGCAAGGGAGCCAAACTTGAACTTGAAAGGATTCCTTCAAAATGCATACGTTCATCCAGTTTTCAAGCACGACGAAGACGACGTAGAAATTGAAACGGATTCTGAAGATGGGCGACATGGGCCAGTGCTGGTGCCAACAAAACGCCATTCTCGTAGGAATACGCCATTGCCAAGCAAGCACAGCGGTCCCTTATTGTCTTCACATTCAGAAGTTGATGGAGGAGTTTCATAACATTCAGAAGTGGTGAGCTTGCTATTGTTTTTTAATGGTGTGTGTATATTTCACTTGATGAGGAAGGGGGGAGGACACTGTAAATGATGAGTTAGGATAGACGCTTAGAAAAGTTCTTAAAACTGACAAATAGTGCAGTTTTTGTGTTCTGTTTTTGTTCTTATAGAGTGAATTTGGAATAATAAAATGATAAATTTATTATGGAATTGTTTGGTTCTTGCACTGTCTTATAAAATTTTTACTTTTGTTTCTGTCAAATAACAGAGTAGACTGTGAGTGTGTGCACGTTCATAATGAGGAACGTGAAACCTTTCTCTAGTCAATGCGTTTTAAAACTGTGAAATTGATGACGATATGTAATGGGTCAAAGTAAACAATATCTACTAGTAATGGGCTTGAATTGTTACAAATTGTATCATAACCACACACGAGGTGGTGTGCCAGTGAGGACGTTGACTCCTAAGGGAGGTGGATTGTGAGATCTCACATCGGTTGGAGAGGGGAACAAAACATTTCTTATAAGGGTGTGGAAACCTCACCCCAATAGATGCTACCGTGAAATTGACGGCGATACGTAATGGGTTAAAGCGAACAATATCTAGTAGTGACATAAGGGTGTAGAAACTTCTCCCTAACAGACGTGTTTTAAAACCGTGAGGCTGACAGCGATACGTAACGGGCCAAAATGAACAATATTTGTTATATGCTAACTGTTCAAGGGTGTGGAAACCTCTCCCTAGCAATCGTGTTTTAAAACCATGAAGCTGACGACGATAACTAACAGGTCAAAACAAACAATAACTACAAGTGGTTGACTTTAACTATTACAACATCAAAAACTCAAATTTGTGCCCTTCCACTCGATTTTTACTACATTCATAATATAATATAATCTAATCTCTAATAGCAATTATTATAAGCTATAACTTCAAACTTTATTATAACATCTATTATATCCGTAAAAAATGTTATAAAATATTTTACACTTTTAATAATATAGATTGTCATGACATATGATAAATACTATAAAAAGTTGATGATAGTGTTTTTTTTGTAAGCTATCGTATCCATTATTTATTGCATATTTAATTTTTTTTTTAATTAATAAATTTATTATATAAAATTGAATTTTGTGGGTAATAAAATGTTTGAAAAATTAGCACAAGCTTTTCAAACATTTATGTTTTTCTCATGTGCGTGACAATAATTTTTTGCCCAACTCGGAAATGTACATTGAACAATAGAATACAAAATAGTAGTTTGGGAAGATCCTCTCATCCAGAGCAGCAGCCGATGAATCCATTTATTTATACAAATTAGTCCAAAATCTGACGGAAAAATATTACAAATCTCCGAATCCAACCTTCTTCCCCAATCGGAATCGTATCCTCCCTCCGTCGTTGAAGCTTCCGGCGAGCGACCAGAGAGGTAAGTGTTGAGCATTTGTGCTAATGGACGAGGTGATGACGGTTGGGGATGCGTTCTCGTCGTCCGTTAAACCGTCGTTGTTTCCATTGGCACCGGATCCTTTGCTCACTTCCAATCTCCCTCTTATCTCCGCCTTCCTCGCTGGCGCCATCGCCCAGTTTCTCAAGATCTTTACCACCTGGTACACTTTCTCTGCTTTGTTGATTTTTCGTATTGCGAGTTTTGTGTACATTTCTCCACGATCTGAGGGAGCCAGAGCTTAATCTGTTGTGTTCTGGTTTTTGGGCTCTTAGGTATAAGGAAAGAAAATGGGAATCTAAACGGATGTTTGGTTCTGGCGGAATGCCTTCATCTCACTCTGCAACTGTGACTGCTTTGGCCCTTGCTATTGCCCTGCAGGAAGGATCCGGAGGACCTGCTTTTGCCGTCGCCGTAGTCTTTGCATGTGTTGTATGTGCTTGATTCCTTCTTTCTTCTTGTTTACATGCTTGTGTTCTTTCGTTTACTTTCCTCTTCTGATGCCCTGATTACTGAAAGAATTTAGAAAATTTTGGCTTTCTGTTCCATTAGCTGTAATGCTTGTTTTGATTTACAGTTTAGGATGAATAATAATTTATAAGTATAGTTCTTGAATATTTAGTTTCTTTGTACCTTAAATAGTTTCTAACAAGTTCTTAAAACTTTCATGGTTGTATCTATTCAGGTCATCTACTTTATAACTTTTCTAGTAAGTCTTAAAATGGTTAATTTGTACCTAATTAGTTTTTATTGTTTGCTTCATTAGTCCAAACATTTGCGAGGCATAAAGGTGATATATTTTAGGATCACGATTTACGTCAAAAATCATGTCGTCCTATCAATTTTAAATTACACACGGTTAATAGGTTTTTGTTAGTGTTAAATGAATTAATATTACTTATTTGACATAAAATTGAATGTTTTAAACTTGTTTAAAAAGTTTGAAAATCATACGGTTTTATGAAACCGTGTGCTATGGCTCGAATCCATAGTCAATCCTATTTACGAATGTATGCTAGATCAAGATTATGCTAGACTAAATTTTGTATTTGATGGCCTGAACTGTTTTATTTGATTTCACAGGTATTCGCTATATGTACTTCATGATCAAATTTGTTTAGTTAAATCTTGTTTTGTGATCAAATATGTTTAGTTAAATCTTGTTGTTTTGATTACATGTCTGTTGCTTTTGTATTCTGAAATGGTAACTTGGCTGCTTTTGTATCAACTCTGCCTTCTTCGCGTCGTCGCTCTTGTATTTTATTTACATTTCTGTCGTGTTTCAATCCTGTAATGATAACTCGGCTGTTCTTGTAAAGACTTTGCCTCCTTGGCGTTGTCGTTTCCTGTCTCTTTGTTTCTGCTTCTTCTGCAAACCAGATGAGTATTAACAATATCATTCTATCAGTTCCAAATCAGCTAAAAATGTCAGTGAATATGTTGACAATTGCAATTCCAGTGATAGTACTGGACTTTACTCCTTCGTATCTCCTTTCGCACAGTACCCGACAAGTTGGTTTAAACTGCTTTTGAATGTTTTTGTTTCTAATTAAAATTTGATTTTCGTTGTTATTATTTTTCTATATGATCGATTGGACTTTAAGCTTCGGGTTTTTTGAACACTTTTTAATGTTTTAATGTAATTGGCTTTCATGCATTTTCAATTTCTTGAAGGTAATGTATGATGCTTCTGGAGTCAGACTTCATGCTGGTCTTCAAGCCGAGGTAAGTTCTTTAGAAAGTATATATAGGTTCCATTTTTTTTATCTTTCATTTATCATTACCACTTCCATCTATGTCACCTTGAGTCTGATTATTATGTCCATCGTACAAAACTGTTCATCTTTTCCCATTAAGTCTTATCATTTGATGATCACAGTTGCTGAACCAAATAGTTTGCGAGTTTCCTCCTGAACATCCTCTGTCCAGTATTAGACCATTGCGAGATTCACTTGGACACACTCCACTTCAGGTCAGTGCATTTGCTTCATATATGTATGTTGGGATATGGAACCATATGATATTAAAAGCTTAGCCTTGCAAATTTGTATCCTTCATATATTCTGGAGTAAAAAAAGAAACAATGAAAAAGAAAACTCCGAACTCTTTTGCTATGATGGAATACTATACCAAAGTTTGTCAATTTGAACATAACTCAATGGATATGATATCAACTAATATCCCAATGGTCGATGGTTCAATCTCTTACCCTACAATTCTTTGAAATTAAAAAAAAAATAGTGAATTCGAAGGTAAACTATGAAATGCCACTTTTTGCTATGGCTTATATGCTAATTATTTGAATACTATCAGATGCAATAATCATTTGCATTGTGTTTTTCCAAGCTAAGTATTGTAATGCTGCTGCTGACCGTTAATTAACTTAATATCATCCAACTGGATTGGGACATGGATATTATGTCTTGTTAGCCTTGTTTTACTATTATCTAAAATGACTCATTTTGAAGCACTAATATTGTGTATTATCTTCATAATGATGCATTGTTCTAGTCAACTTCATCCAGATAGAAAGAATTTTGTTAATTCATATTCACTCTCTGGTATCGATAACAGGTTGTTGCAGGTGCTGTGCTGGGATGTCTAGTGGCTTATTTTACAAGAAATCAAAACTAGATTATGGAATTTGAACATCAGGATCAAGTATGGCTTTTCATTCATTGGAACCACTTGAACAAGTGTAAAGAAAAAAAATGGTTGCTGTTAAGGCATTGGACTGGGTGATTGTTCTTCCATAATTGGGACTCCAATGAATGCAGAAATGATATATTCTTTGGTTCAGATCTCGCTATTACAAATCGCCTCCCAATCCATCGAGATTGAATTTCTTGTTTAGACTTGTCATTTTTTTCTCCTTTTACAAGTTTCTTAGTGTTCATATACTCGACACCGACCATACAAGACTTCTAGAAACTAAATGAAGAAAAGTTGATCGTAATTAACCAAAGTAGATACGAAGTATAAGTTGACAATTATTTGTTTGCAATATTTCAATGGAAGTTGTCTCTTGAGGAAGTTCAAGAGACATAAGCATGGAATTCTACAATGGAGTTACTTTTGTGACTTTAATTTTTCTGAATGTTTAACAACAACAACAAAACGGACTTCAAAATAGTAACATTGCATGAATTGAATTTGAAATTAATGTTTTGTAACTCAACCATTAATGCAGCAAAAACTACCATTCAATTTAAACGACCCTCTTATAAAACTGTGTTAGCTATGGTAAGATTCAGTCACAGATACAGGATCAAGCAACTATGACAAAGAAGAAAGGTTCGACCGCCACTGCGGGGGCGGCGGCCGGTTCAAAGGTGGCGGTGGTTGTGTGTGCCATGCTGTTGACATTGGCCATCCTGATATTCCATTCTGATGAGTTCAAGCTTCAGTCCTCCAACTTCACTTACCAGTTCAGAAACAATGGCTTTGGAGAAGATAGCCATGGCTTTCAATCACCTCCTAAGATTGCATTTCTGTTCCTCACTCGCAGCAACCTTCCTCTTGATTTTATCTGGGCCAGCTTCTTCAAGGTATGCCCTGCATTTGAATGTTGTTTCTTTTCATAAAAGCTCTTACATTTTTGTTCTTGATTGATGAAATCCACAGAGTGGAGACCAAGCCAAATTTTCCATTTACATTCACTCACAACCAGGCTTTGTTTATGACAAATCAACCACTAAGTCTCCTTTCTTCTATGGCAGACAATTGAACAACAGTATTCAGGTACTCCTCCTTGATTTTCTTTTCTTCTTTCTCAATGTTCTTGGCTTGATCTTATGGCCATCAAACGTTCAGGTACTATGGGGAGATTCTACCATGATAGAAGCAGAACGCCTGTTGTTTGGTGCAGCTCTTGCTGATCCAGCAAATCAGAGATTTGTCCTTCTTTCCGATAGGTTTGTTTCGATCTTCATGTTTCGGTGCTCGAAAGTTCGAAACTGTTCATTAATAATCTAAGAATCTTAGTTTTTTAATGGTAACTGCAGCTGCATACCTCTGCATCACTTCAGCCATACTTACCGTTATCTGATGTCTTCTACAAAAAGCTTTGTCGACAGGTATGTATTCGAAATGTCGGTATGAAACCGTTGATATCGTAAATCCGATACTGTTTTGTATACTGACTTTACACTTTGGGAAAAGTAATCTTTTTCTACTTTAGTATTGGTATTGAAATATGTTGATTGTAAGTAGCTTAGCTTCTGTGTAGTGTAGTTTTTTGAATGTTGGCGAAGGCCGATATAATCCCGAGATGTCGCCTGTTATACGACGGGAAAAATGGCGAAAGGGCTCCCAGGTTTAGCTACTTTGTCTACTGTCAAAGTAAGATACTGATCTTAAGCAGTTCCTAGAATGTATGATCAATTGTTGTATTGTTTTCAGTGGATCGCTTTGGTGAGGAGACATGCTGAAGTTGTAGTGAATGATGCCATAATCTTTCCTCTGTTTACGAACTTCTGTAAGGTGTGGATTAGAAGTCTCAAGCAGTTCAGTTTTGTAATCAAGCAATATTTGTTAATATCATGCCGTGATTGGATTCATCTTTTCCCTGTTGCAGCGATGGCCGCCACCCGAACACGCCACCGGAAGGCAAACACTTGTAAGTTTTTCCGATTAAATCGTGATTTGCCAATGATTACTTAGAGATCTCACATCGGTTGGAGAGGGGAACGAAACACTCCTTGTAAGGGTGTGGAAACCTCTCTGTAGCAGACGCGTTTTAAAACATTGAGGCAAAAAAAAGACTATCTACTAGCGGTGGGCTTGAGCTGTTATAAATGGTATCAGAGCCGGACACCGGACGGTGTGCCAGCAAGGACACTGGATCCCCATAGGGATGGATTGTGAGATTTCGCATCGGTTAGAGAGGGGAACAAAACATTCTTTGTAAGGGTGTGGAAACCTCTTTCTAGCATACGTGTTTTAAAATCTTGAGGGAAAGTCCAGAAGTGAAGGCTCAAAGTAGACAATATTTGCTGGTGGTGGGTTTGAGATGTTACAATTATGTTTACCGGTTTTCGCTTTATTTCGAAACTGATGGTCGAAAATATTGATATTCAGAAGGTGAAGTATCATCCCAACTGCATACCAGATGAGCATTATGTGCAGACTTTACTTTCAGTAAGTTGCTTCTGTGACTGTTTTTTTTTCCTTTTTGTCTCCTGCGGACCGATCTTCCATTACGATGTTCGTAAAAACTATTCGTGTGGTGTTATTGTAAGATAAGAAACCTCGAGAACGAACTCGAACGACGAACGTTGACGTACACCATGTGGAACAGTTCCATCCCAAAAGGGGACAAAAGATCTTGGCATCCAGTTACTTTCCAATATTCAGATGCAACTCCTCTGATAATCAAAGAAATGAAGGTCAGTGTTGGCAATGTTGATGCATTAGTCTGCAAAAAGCTTGATTCATAAGAACACATTAAACTGATTTGGTTGTTACCTTATTATTTTCATCTCCTAGGAAATCAACCACATTGACTTTGAATCCGAACACCGAACCGAGTGGTGTCGTGTTAACTCGATGTATACGCCATGCTTCTTGTTTGCAAGAAAGTTCACTCCCGGAGCGGCTCTACGTGTCCTGAAAAACGGTTGATGAACGATCCGATTGATGGAAAGATATTGTTGTAGATGGATTTAGGACATGATTTTTATTTATGATAACAAAGAAGGGGTTCCAAAACCACTGTATTTTTAAAGGGATTTGTTGGATGATATGCTAGAAAGAACATAGAATCCTTTTTGAGTATAAGTTTAGCCAAAATTTTCCTTTGTTCACTATAGTTCTTGTGAACATAATTTTTTTATGAAGTTTGATTCAAAATTTATTTTTGATCGTGTTTTTCACCCTAATCTTTAGAAAGTTTCATTTTTTGTTGCGATGGAACGTTTACTTTTCACTAAATCTTTACCGTCATTAAATATTAAATGAATTATGAAAAATCTACCATTGACCTTCGATCTCCTAAAATTTAAATATTTTATCTTTTAGTCGATGACATATATTTTAATTAATTAGATTGACTCATATATTATCAAGTTAGATGATAGACTTTGTAGATTTAACTTGAACGATCCTACTAATGGTAAGCTATTTAACTATGAACGGCTCAGCATGATAGTAATACTCTAAAATTAAGCCACGATAAAATTGATGAATTTTTTCTTATTATCATAAATTTAAATGTGAACGACTAAAAAAATACTAAATTATAAATAATTTTAAGAGATAAAATTGTAATTAAACCTATATTAAAATTAGAACTGAAGTGTAATATATATTTTTGGGATGAATTCTTTAAGAACTTTTTTTAGTGATAATTATTTTTATTGACCAAAATTTTGAAAAAAATTACCTAAATTAAATTATAAATTTAATTTTACGACAAAATTTTAAAAAATTTATATTCAAGAATAAAATTATAATTTAACGGTGTTGGTGTTGAACAGTCGACCTTAAAACTCCCATAAAGTGGGAAGTAGTTACCTCTTATTGGGAGTTCTTCCTTCAATGAAACGCAGCGTTTTGGACATTCTGTGTCTGTGAAGCGAGAAAACCAGGTATCCATCTTCTTCATTTTCGAAATCCACGCAGAAGGAGAGAACTCTGTAGCTCACACCACCTGGAGACACTGCGAACGCCTTTAAATCCAATCAATGGCGTATGAAATCCCACACGATCTGATCAAACAACTTCAGATCTCACTTCGAAATGGCGCCAGAATCTCCTCCTACGATCCTCACGATCCTTCGCTTCCAAATCTACCATCGCTTCATGAAACAATTGCAGAACTCGATCCTTCGCCACCTTGTCTTCGCTGCAAACACTGCCGAGGAAGGTTTCTTAGGGATTTGAAGTCATTTATTTGCGTTTTCTGCGGTCGGGAACAGAGCACGGAGGTCCCTCCTGATCCTATTAATTTCAAGAATACCATTGCTTGTCGTTGGCTGCTCGAGTCCTTTGACTTGGATGGATCGGTAGGTTTTTCTATTTCTTTTTCCTTATATATTTGCTAAGATTCATGTAGGAATAGGGAAAAGTTAAACATCAGTTCTTGCTCGTTTCACTTAGGCAGATTGTTTCGAAAATTTTGTTGCTGATTCTAGAATACAGCATTGGTTCTTATAGTCTAAAGGATTGATGGAAATTTTTGTTCTCGTTTCAGAGAAAATCTTTTAGAATTTCGAACTGTTCTGGCATGGACTTACTATCTTAATTCGAATGTTCATTGGTGTGGTATTCAAGGAGCATGTCTGCGAATTCAAGAACATATCTGAAATAGATAATTTTTCGAAATTGTGCGCATTGGATTCACGCTCTTTGTGGACGTTGAGATAACCCTAAAGTATTAGATAATTGATTGATGTTGTTGAATGCCTGGGGTTCCTTCGGGCAGATTCTTTGAAATGTGTTTCAAAATTTTGGCAGGAAATGGTCGGACCAATCGATTTGAAGAAATCAAACCGCGGAAAATCACCAGAGCAGTTTCCCCTTACAGATATTTTGGATTTAGAGATCAGATGGCCTGAAACTGAAGATATGGGGCTCTCAGACGATACCTCAGCTCCAAGTAAAAGTACCTTGAATTTGGCTGGAGTTGAACTGGACTGCTACTTTTCTGAGGGAAAAAATGACTCCACTTCAAAAGCATCTGATGAGCTACCACTACCGAATACACAAATAGATGTCTCTGAGAGCAAAACTATTAAGGATAATGTAGGTCTTAGTTTGTTTGGAAACGTTCCATCTTCTGAGATGACTACGAGGATCACTAAACATGATGATTCCTTTTCTGGTTGGGAGGCAAGTTTTCAGACTGCTGGTCCCGCAACTTCTCGTCATAGTTCTAAATCAGGTTTTGGACTCAAAAACAAGTCCAGAAGTGGAGAAATGGAAGATACGCAAGGCCCTTCTGATAATTTTAGGAAAGGTATTGTGAATGGCGTTGTGCCAAAGGTGGATAAGACTGAAGTAGATTCCTTCAGCACAACCACCTCAAAGGATAGTGATTTTAGGAACTCTTCTCAGCCAAATTCATTTGCAGGAGCATTCCTCAATCCAAATGGTATATCCGGAGAAAAAGCAACGAGGCCAGATGCCGCCTTTGATGTAAGAAGGTGTGTACAAGCTAGCCAATTATTTTTGTAAAGCAACCTATTAGCTTGTAAACATATTGCAGTTGAAATCCATGGCTAGGAGGTTCCCTGTTTTCATTTTTCCTTCTATGCTCACCAAATTTGATTGGTTTTCAAGGCTGTTTTACTTTCAGACTCTTTATCAGTCATCACTTTGTTCTTCATGCAAATGCATTACTCCCTTCAACCTTCCTTTAATCTTATGCTTGTTGAGAATTGTTGAGAGGGAGTCCCACGTTGACTAATTTAGAGGATATTATGAGTTTATAAGTAAGAAATACTATCTCAATTGGTATGAGGCCTTTTGGGGAAGCCCAAAGCAAAGTCACGAGAGCTTATGCTCAAAGTGGATAATATCATACCATTGTGGAGAGTCGTGATTCCTAACCATGCTTTGTGGAAACTATAAGATAACTTGTTCCCAAGCCTTTACATTTTTCATGTTGCAGGATGAGTGAAGAGAATGGAGCAACTGGAGCAAATTTGGAAGCTACGAAGTGTCGGGCTGCATCAGGTACTAGTTCAAGTTCAGATGACGTACACATGACGGTCGCAAAGATGCACGAACTATCTTTTATGCTCGAAAGCAATCTTTCAATCCCCCCAAAGTGATGCCTCTTTAGTTCTTCTTAAGAAGCACGTTGCCACTGAGCTTTTCCTGTATTTTTCTTTCCATCCTTTCTAAATTTGTTGTAGCTTAGTGTTAGTTTAGTTATTACGAAATGCATTCTTTGATTTTACAAAATGGCCATATGTCGTTGATATCCATTGCAGACATTACTAACATATTGATGAGTAGATATATATATACACACACCATTCAACAAAAATGCAGAAGATTCCCAGATGACAATATTATTCAGTGACTGAAGCTGTAGCTGTGACACAAGTGGACAACCCCTGCACAAAGGTGATCGAAGGCATAAAATTATCCTTGATTGAATACAAAATTTAGTAACTGACCAAATTTTATTTATTTCACTTGACAGAAGTACACAAACAAGAATGTCAAAGCACTGGATTTGAGTAAGGTTGGCCATGGGAGGCCATAGCTTCCCTTTGCAAACATCCCCTTCAAGAACGACCAGAAGCACAAAATCAACCAAACACAGGACATCACCTCCGCCACCCCAAACTCTTGAACGCTTGTCTGTGTTCCCAAGAAGCTGATCAAAAGTGCTGCCAACTGAATCATCAAAATGGTTGTGACTGGCACAAATATTGGGGACTCATCAAACGTGAACCGACCCAGATCTCGGTCGGTACTCTCTTTGTCATCGCTAGAAGATGATGACTCCTTTTTCGTTATTTCGAACACAGTCTCTGATAGTCCTAAAATCTTCAGAATTACAGTTACCATTCCAGGCAAGGAAGAACTCATTACAAGTATCCTCTCCATTGTCTGGCCATTCCACCAGGCTCTTACAGATTGGCCCGTTTCGAAGAAGTCTAACAGCTGCCGTAGATTGTTAATGACGAAAAGAAGGAGAGGTATGAACAGTACTGGTTCTTGTACCTGCATTGAGAAATCCATAGCTGCTTAACAATTCTTGTATAAAACCAGAATATCTCTGATTATTTAGGTGATGTAGGGATTGTATTCTATAAACTTACCTTGGGCAAGAAATGGGAGTTGGAAATTAGACAAAATGCTGGTAGAGTAGCGTAACATATATCTGGAATAGCACGAATGCTGACCAGATACCCCCAGAGATAGATCAAACGTTGTCTAAATTGGAGTTTATCACAGAGAGCAGTGACAATGGGGGACTCTCTGCTGATTAAAGTTTCAAGTAGTCCTGTCATTACTCTCTTCATATGGCCTAATGGAACTGGGCCGCCCATGGGTGCACATCCTAGGAATGCTGGTGGATTTGGTGTGATGTATGCAGATTTCCATCCCTTTTTATGGATCCCCATCCCAGTCAACATGTCCTCCACTACGGATCCATATTGCCAACCCACCTGCAATTTTGTGTAGGACTCAGAATTAAAATTACAAACCTCAGTGATCGACTGAGCTAGTTCCATATTGATGGTGATCAATCTGAAGTAAACAAGGTAGTTATGATTGAGTTCTGCCAACGACAGTCTTATTAGGTTATATTTGTGTGAGACCACACATTGATTGGAGAGGGAAAGCCCAAAAAGAAAGGCTCAAAGAGGATAATATTTGTTAGTGGTGATGTGCCAGCGAGAACGCTGATCCCTGAATGGGGGTGGACACTAACTGGTATGCCAGCAAGGACGTTGGGTCCCAAAATGGGGTGGATTGTGAGATCTCACATCCCACGTTGATTGGAGAGAAGAACGAGTGTAAACGAGGATGTTGGGTCCCGAAGAGGGGTAGATTGGGGGTGGATTGTAAGATTACACATCGGTGTAGAAACCTCTCCCTAGCATACATATTTTAAAAATCTCGTGGGGAAGTCAAAAAGGAAAACCTAAAAAGGACAATATTTGTTTGTGGTGGGCTTGAGCCACCCAAAAAGATAATATCTACTAGGGACGGGATTCTTATAGGTAAACCCGAAGCAATAAAAAGAAGTATTATTTGAACACAAACCTTGAAACCCCAACAAGAATTGTGTTCATAATCAGCAGTAGCAACTTCATTTGTTGCTTCGATTGAGTTGGATAGGCAATTCGGATCATCTGCAAAGCTTCTTAAGGTACGAGTGGCTGAGGTTACGAATTCTTTTGAATTTCCAAATGTTTTATACAACTCCACTTCATCATATTTCTCTGCAAAATGATTAGAAATGAAATGAACTGTGTAAACACAAAAGATATCAAATCTTTTGAATTTGATCCGAAGCTAACAAGATTGCAATTCTTCAAGTGTTCTTTTTCCAGATTCGAATGAAGTTAGATTACCATTAATATTAGCTTCATCTGGTGATTGACCATACATGACTTTTCGTCTATGAATACATCCTGTTCCTATATAGAAAGACCCTTGAACTCCGGCCATTCCGCGAAACGCGAGCTGCCAAAATGGAAGAGAAACAAGCCGTTAAAAAACACGAGTTACAATTTAGTCTCTGAATTATAGTAATTTACCATCCATAACGATTTAGCAACTATCGTTCAAAATAATATTAAGATTCAATGAATTTTCTTATCAAGATTGATTAGAAATCTAAGTTTATTTTAAAATCATAAATACTAAAAATTGACAATTAATTTTATTGATTAGATTTATGACGGAAGGAACTAAATCTATTATTTTAAAAAAGTTTAGGGACTAAAAAATGATAATTATTAACTTTCACAAGCTTTTTTTTTTTTTTTTTTTAATTAATAATAATCATAATAATAAATCACCTGCATCACGACAATGGCTTGGTTCCCAGCTGGATCGTCTTTGAGTCCATTGTAAAAGCATTGAGGAAATTGAACAAATGCAAACTCTTTATCGATCTTATCGATCTTAGGGTCGAGTAAGAGACACATTGCTTGTAAAATAACTTCGGGATTATTGACAAACATGTCACAGTCTAAATTCAACATGTATGGCGCATTGGTCATTAACCCAGACACTCTTGTCTACCCATGAAAAAAAACACCTTTATTTAAGATTATAGAATCCGAGAAGAATTTAGAATAAGTAAAAAATTTAAAAGTTTTACCAAAACATTCATGGCACCAGCTTTGTAATGGTGCGGAATTTGGGGTTTCTTCTCTCTCGATACATAAACCAAATGAGGCACTCCATCCCAAAGCCCTTCTTTATTCTCCCATATGACCTACAAAACAATATCATAATTCAACCGGTTAAGATATATACTATCGACCCAGAGATTATAAATTTGAATCCCTTCACTAAAATATATACATTAGAGTATACGAACATGTCACTTTGATGTTACTTCATGTTAAACTCTACATCGAAAACTACAACTAAAATCACGAGAGTTTATATTCAAAGTGTACAATATCATATCATTACGAAAAATCATTGTTCGTCCTTAATAAATAGTATCAGAGTCATGCTTTTAACATAGTCATATCGATAGACTTCTCGAGTGGGCAGACCTCGAACATTACCTTGACTATAGGAGGGTGATTATTTGGCTTTGAGTTAGCGAAATCCGGGAACTCGCCGATAAGGTTACTAAATGCAGAGTTTTTGGCGGCGGCGGCTACCTCAATCCTCCGGCGGAGCTCTTCGTACTCATCCTTAATTAAACAAACATGACAAAAACAAGACCACCTTAAAAACCATCCTCTGTTTTATTTTTCTTTTTTTCCTTTAAATAAGCAATTAAATCAAAGAATTATCTTCCAAAGAATTGGTTACCTTCATCCTCCTCCACTCATACTGAAACTCCGTTGATCCATGAGAGTCTAAATCACCAGAGAAATACCTAAACGGAGCCCTGATTTGGACCTTATATTTCTTACAAAACGGCACCCAAATTTGGGCAAATTTAAGAGCTTCACAGAGGGAATAAAACGTGAGTGATGAACAGCCGTCGTCGGAGACGTAACAAGCCAATTTATTGGCCGGATATTCCACTGCTAACACCGACAGCACCGTGTTTATCAGAATTATCGGCGGCTCCAGCTCCGGATCCGCCGTTGTAACGAATACGTCCACAGGAGGAACCTCAGATACTCTGCATTTCGAAAAGAAAAAAAAACTCAAAAAATTAGGAAAAAAGAATGTAAGCATTGGAGAGGAAAGGGAATGGATTTTGGGATACCGTTGGAGAAGGCGTTGGGGATAGGTTATGTAATGGATAGGGCTCCAATTGAGATTGGTAATGAGAGCCCAATAGAAAGTGAACCAAAGCTCGCAGAGAAAGGCAATGGCGAAGAGGGAGCTGAATCCATGGCGGCGGAATAAGAGCAGGCGATAACAGAGCAGTGAAACGTGGAGGAAGAATATGACGACATCCAGAAATCGTTTCAGAGGCCTTTCTACTCCCACTTTTTGGTACAGAGGAAGACCGTTGGATTCCGCCATTTCAATCTGTTCCGCTCTGAATTCTTATGAGATTATAATATTCTGGTCTATATATAATGGAACAATTATACCATTTTTTTTTAAATGAACACCGCTCTCCACAATGACATGATATTGTCCCCTTCAAGCATAAGCTCTCGTAGATTACCGATGGAGATAGTATTCCTCACTTCTAAACCCATGATCTTTTACTAAATTAACCAACGTGGGACTCAATCCCAATAATCATCAACAATAGTGTAGTTGTGATGGGATCCAATGCATTAGTGCTTGTATGATCCAGTCCACTAAATCAATCATGATCTTCCACTAAATTAACCAACGTGGGACTCAATCCCAATAATCATTAATAACAATACTGCAGAGTTCTGATGGGATCCGATGCATTAGTGCTGGTATAATCTAGTCCACTAAGTTAATCATGATCTTCCACTAAATTAACCAATGTGGGGCTCAATCCCAATAATCATCAACAACAATACTACACAGTTTTGATGCATTAATGCTAGTATGATCCAGTCCACTAAATTAGCCAATGTTGGAGGATGAAAATCTTATATTGGCTAATCTAGGGAATGATCATGGGTTTATAATCAAAGAATACTCTCTCCATTGGTAATGAGGCCTTTTGAGAACAATGTTTATGCTTTTCAATTTTTAAATTACGGTTTTGGTTTTAAGTTTATGTAGTGTTATTATAAGCTCTTTTCCTGTAAAATTCGAGCCCTAATATTATTTTCGAATATTTGAGACAAAAATTAGCATTTAAGCTCTTTTTCTTCGAACTTCAAGTCCTAATATTATTTTTTAATTTTAAAGGAAAATTAACTTTTCGAAACTGCCTTAAAACCCGAGCAAAAAATCCCCACCAATACTCACGTTAAACGAACTAAAAATTGATGGCTATTAGTATTTTGAAGCTATTTTTTTTATTTATGGAGTAAAATAAAATAAGGATAATAATCTAAGAAACAGATGTATTTTTTTAATCCAATCAAAATCTGACACGTAAGAGTCCCAAGACAGATGGCAAAGTCAAATACGTTGAATCTGACTGAAACTTTCCTTGTCTTGTGGATCAAGGAGGATCATGATATGATTTTTTTAATCCCTTGCTCTCCAAGAGAAGTGTTAAGTTTTGCTTTCAAGAGTGTTTTTTTTCTTATTGATTTTTTTTTTTTTTTTTTTTTTTTTTTTTT